AACTTAGTCTTACTTATTCTAATTTATTTTCTATTATATTAAAGACTTTAGATTTATTTAAATAGTTTATATAATGGCTAACCATAATATACTAAATTCTAGCTTTAATGATAGCTAAATATCTAATACTGAGTCTATTATGCCTTAGGATAGTATATCTAATATCTCTACTACTGCTTCACTTAGTTAGCAAAGGTATAATAAACTACACTTTAGGCTAGACGATAAGAATTCTAATGCTTATTTAATTACAAAAGGACTTATTAAAAGGGAACTACTTCTTGTTAATGTTACTAAGCCTAGACAGGTTAAAGTTATATATACTCTTTATTCTTATAGTTGGATAAGAGATCTAGAAGGTTTCTAAACCTCTAATTATGTAGCACATTATAGAGCTAAATATAAAACTATTGCTACTAAAGAAGAGCAAGAAACTAATAAAAAAACTATAAGAGAATACCAAGCTAGAATTAAAGCTAATAGTAATAATCCTAGTAATCCTTTTACTATGTCTATAGTTAGTAATAAACGAGCTAGAGCTAATACTAGATTAGATTTTAATTTAGATACTGCTTTATATTTAATAGTTAAATTTATAGTTAAAAATAACCTATCTTTTAACTCATGTAGCTCTAATTCTTTTAAAGAACTCCTAAAGTATTATAATTGTTATAGTCCTTAAATTAATCGTTATAAGCTTTGAGATCTTCTTTATTCTAGTTACGATGAAGCAAAAGATAAGCTAAAACGTGAATTAAAAGCAGTAGTTTCTAAAAACGATTATTTTGCTATAGCTTTAGATGCATAGACATCTAATAGTAATTAGTATGCCTTTTTAGGTATAATAATTATCTATGCTAATAGCAACGTTAAATTATAGTATAGATTACTAGGATTTAAAAGATTAACTACTAATTACACTAGAAAATATCTTTATAGTGTATTTAAAAGTATTATTAAGTCTTTTAACTTAGATATTAGTCATTTTATTAGTTTTTTACGGGATAATGCTAGTAATAACGATATATTAATTACTTAGCTAAGAACTGAAAAGAATCTAATAGGTTCTACTAAGGATTTCTATGATATTCGTTGTACTGTACATATTATTAATTTAGTTGCTAAAGCTATTATTAGACACTTTGTAGCTAATTATGATAAGGAAATTAAGACCGCTAGAAGTAGAGCTAGTCTTATTAGTCAATATACTACTTCTACTTAATTAGATACTATTTTAGATACTATAGCTTCTAAGAGTCTAATAGGTAGACTTAAAAAAGTAGTTCACGCTATTAAATTTAAGCAAGAACATTAAAAGAACTTTAAATTATCTAGAAAGTTATATCTTAAATGTAAGGAGCTATTAGGTACAATTAGGCGAGCAGAATATAGCTAATATTATAGGATCTACGTATAGAGAGAGAAGATCTAGAGATAGAGCTACGAATATAAAGATATAGGGCCTAGGGGATTCTTAGACACACTAACCCTAAACGAGATAAAGAGATCTTATCTATAGGATTAGATCTCTAGATCTAATACCAAAATACTAAACCTATAAGGATTCCTTACATAACTCCCCCTTTCTAAAATAGACCTCCTAGGCTATTCTAATCTATTCTATTCTAGGCTAGGCTAAGCTAGTCTAGTCTAGTCTAGTCTAGTCTATATAAATACTAAAACTCCTTCATATATATTACTACTAAGAAACATATAATACGTTATCTACTAACCCTAGCAACTATTAAAACCTATTAATAAAGGTAAGGATATCTATTTAAGATAGTTCATAGTGTCCAATAGTCTTAATAATAGCATTATTAAAAACAAACTAAAAACAAAGGATATAAAACTATAAAAATAAAGTGCTTTTATGCTATAAGATTCCAATTTATAGGTAAACTATTAATATTATAATCTTCTTCTTAGTTAGGCTTTAGTAGCTTCTACGAGGGATATAGACCTAGTTTATTAAGATATAGATAATAAAACTCTAAGATAGCATTAGGCATATTAAGCATATTCTACTATAGTTGCTAACTCTTATCGTAATAACTATTCTATTTAATCCTATATTTAAGGACCTTACCTTTGCTATAGCCTTCCTATTTACTATTAGTAATAGCATCTACAAGCTATTCTTTTTCTTTACCTTCAACTTTGCTAATAATAGCTAATAAAGAATTAACTTCTTTAAGAAGCTTAGCCTTATTATTAATAGGATATAATAACTAAGTATAAAATACTAAATATATTTTTATTAACTTAGGTAGATTTAATTTATAAGTAATACTATTAATCTTATAAAAGACTTTAAATAATCCTACGCTTTTATTATTAAGCGTTTTTAAAGGGTATATTATATTATAGTTATAAATATTAAGACAAACCTAATCTCCTAGATAAAGATTAGGTACTAAACGCTAGTACTTATTAGTATAGAGCTTTTACTATAACTACGCCTATATTAATTATTCCTTTAAGAATTAGTATAGCTTCTCTCTACTATTCTAAATATAGTCTACTAAAGCAACTTCCTTATAAGCTACTATAGATTTATATAAAGTCTTAAGTAGTAGATAATAAGCTAATTCTAATCCTAATTTTAGTAAAAAACTATTCTAGGCCTTAAATAGTATAAAGCCTATAGTAGCGCTTACTATAGAATTAACTATAAACTTAGTAAAGGGTAACAATAAAGCCTAATTATCTTAGTCCTAATTAATAAATAAGTATAAGTACTATTTAAGTATAGTAATTAAAATTTCTATAATTCTATCTATCTTAAGATACTAAGCTATACTTAACCTTAGAGTAATACTAATACGCTTATAAAGGCGACTCTAAAATACTAATATAAACTAGGTTCTTCTATCTAATAAAATAGAATCTAGTTAATTATAAAGCTTTTAGACGTAGTTAATAAATATAATAATTATTATTTTAACTAATAGGTTAAGAAGGGTAATAAATCTCTAAGACTATATAAGGCAATTAACTATAATTATAATATAGTAGTAGATAATCTCTTAGTATATATATCTTAGTAAGGAGATAGCAAAGTTAATAGAAATATCTAACTAAGCATAATCTAGTAGTAGAAAGGATCTTAATAAACCTTACTTCTTTTAATATATAGGTTTAGTAAAGATATAGTAATAGCCCTTAATAAAAGTCTTTACTAACTCTAACATACGTAGCTACTAGTAATCTTACTATAAATAGTAGTATATTATTATAACTCTTCTATATCCTATTACCTTATATTAATAAGCCTATTTTATAGCTTTATAGTATAAATAGATAGTAGAGATAAAGAGCTTTTACTAGTAGAGTATAGTACTATCTAGCATAGCTTTATAATCTATTAACTTAATATGCTTTTAGTTAAGAATATTAAAAGGTAAGAAGTAGTCTTTTTATACTTTAGCTAGCTAAATTATAATTAATAGCTTATTAACCTTACTTACTTTTATTACCTCTTTTAAGAACTATTCTAGAGCAAAGTCTAAGGATTCCTTATTAACTAGTAGAGAATTATCTAAACTAGCTAGAGTCTTATTCTAAAGGCTCTCTATAATAGGTTCTAAATATAATTCCCCTATTATAGTAGCATCTAACTTATCTACTATAATTATAACTACTTATAAAAGGGATAAGGTAATAGGGTTAATAAGAATTATAGTAAGTTTAACTACTTTTTTTATACTAAACTAATAGGGAAATAAAAGTAGTTAATACTATTAAGTAATCTATAGATTATTATTACTTTAAGGAAGATCTTAGGAACGTCTCATAAGGGCGTTAGCTTTATTATTAGCTATTCCTAGGTAATATTTAATAAGGAAGTAGAATTATAATAAGAATTTAGCTTATTATATTTAATAGTAAGTAAGCTTCTTTATTTTTATAAATATCTAGAGGTTTTAATAATCTAAGAAGACCTTAATAACGTCTTCTATACTAAAGAGTTTAGGTTCCTATTCTTTAAAAGCTTAGATAATAGCTAATAGCTCCTTATTATAGATATTATAATTATATTCTATAGGTATTATCTTTTTAAATAGAAACGTAATAAGTTTAAGATCTCTATTAGCGTCCTTTTATAATAGTACTACTATATATGCCTAATCTAAGGTATCTATTTCTACCTAAGTTTCTTTATTATAGTTAAAATAAATAAGAATAGAAGTAGAAGTAAAAGCTTCTTTAAGAGCTTTAAATGCTTTCTTTTTAGGCCCCTTTAGATCTTATAGGAAGACTATAATAGCGTCCTTTCTTATAAGATTAGTTAATAGCGCTACTATAGCTAAATAGCTAAATATAAAGTAATAATAGAAATTTATAAATTTAAGAAATATCTAAATATCTTTTAAGTACGCTAGTTATTTCTATTCTAGTACTGCCTAAACTTTAGTAAGATCTATTTTAATATTCTTAGTAGTAATAATTAGACTAAGGTATTTAACTTCCTAGATATAGAATTTAGACTTCTTAATATTTAAGAATAAATCTACATATTCTAATATATCTAAGATAAGATAAACATATATATTATATTTTTCTAACGTCTTACTAAAGATTAAGATATTATCTAGGTAGATAGTAATAAAGTTATTAAGGAATTATATTAATGCGTAGTTAATATAAGATTAGAACGTTCCTAGTCCCCTTATAAGACTAAAAGAAAGGACATTAAATTTAAAGAGGCTATATTAAGTAAGGAAGGCTATTTTATGCTTATCTCTAGGTTTAATCTAAATTTATTTAAACGCTATAATAATGTTAAATTTAGAGTAGAACTTTATATACATTAAACGTATAAGTATTTTATTAATAAGAGAAGGAATATTACTATTCTTAATAGTAATTTTATTAAGTTTATAATAATTAATATAAACTCTAATATCTCTACCTAGCTTACTAACATAAAGTATTAATATAGTATATTAAGACTTAGAAGGCCTTATAAACCCGCGTGCTAATAATTACTCTATATAGGGGGAGTAGTACAGTGGTAGTACTTGCGATCTCGCGGCAGGCCCTACCTGTTTGAGAATCCGCAGGGCACGGGTTCGATTCCCGTCTCCCCCACCACCCCAAAAAGGCAATCGTTACTCGCTTTTAAAGCCACGTTCACCCCTTTTTAGGGAAGGTTATCCTTCCCTTTTTAGCAGGTGTGGAGGACGAGCTACAGCTCTTTTTAATACGTCGCGGAAGGTGCAAATTTTTGTATCACGTGACCGCTGTATGCAGCCACAAGATCATCCTTGTCGAAGCCCCACCAACAATAACGGACTAGCGTCAAAAATCACATGATTGGAAACCAGCCACACGGCACGCAAAGCCACACACAAACAAAGCCACAACATCGCCGAAGCGCAGCAAATTCGGCATGCCGAAGCCAATTCTTTTACGGCTCTTGGCAATTAGATCGGAGGAGCGGCCTTGGCTTAGTAAGCCCGAAATCTAGCCGCAATCGGTTAAGGCAAAGATCGGACCGAACGACACGGCAGTAAATCACGGGATCCAGGACACCACGGCTCGGTAAGTACGGTGCCCTCGGGTCGGCACAAACACGGCGCTACAGGAATAAGCCGGCAGACTCGGGGGAGGTGACCCAGAACACGCCGAGCCGAAGGACCTGGATCTCGGCTCGAAAGCGAAGCACAGCGTAGACGGATAGCTCTCGGCAGACCGTCGGCGCTGCCTCGGACTCGGTATTGCGGCACGAATGGAGGGATCTAACACAATAACAAGGAAGGAATCTCGGCCCCTCGGGGGACGACAACATCGGCAACTTCAAGAACTTGAAGCAGTGGACCGAACGGAAGAACAATAACCCGTAACGGATACCGGCCTGGAGAGGTGCCGCGGTTGGATACTACCCGGAATTCGGCTCTCCCGACCCACCAATGCTTCCGTGGCTCGGGAAGCCGATGGGGCTTGGCATAGTATTAACGGCCTTGGCACGGATCGGCCCACGGAACACGACAGCGGGGTTTTCCCTTATGTAGTTAGCGCCTCGGTTTGCCGAACATGTAGGGATTAGCCGAAGCCGGACTAGGCCTCAGGCCTGGAGTGAGCCGGCTCGGCTAGATTCGGGTAGATCGGCTGATTAGATAAGGGTTTTTACCCGCTTATTAAGAGTAGCGTCTGCATAGCCCATTAGCGTAGCTGAAAGACAATAAACAAGATTTAATAATAATAATTACTCTATATATTACTTTACTACTAATGCCTACTTTAGGGATATTAAGATAGAATAACGTTTTAGTATTTTTGCGTCTAGGATAAGGTTAATAGTATAATTAAATTTGCCTTAATATAGTATAAGAGTATTAGCTCGTTTTAGGTTAAAAACCTTAAAGTATTATTAGAATTTCTCTAGAATAAGCTTTAGTATTTCTTCTTATAATATATATAGGCTATTCTACTTATCCTATTATTTAATATAATCCTCTTTAGAGATAGCGTAAATAGAGAGGTTTATTATTTCTCCATTATTATTATCCTTATCTATTATTCTATTATCTTTTATTTTCTTAAAATCTTCTAGCTAAAAGGCATTAATAATAGCGTCTTTACGCTTTAAAAGCTTCTTAAATACTATAGCTAATATAAACGTAATGTCTATATTATTAGGAAAAAGAAGATTAATTATACGTCCTTTTAGATCTATAGATATTAAGTAATGTAATATAATATAATTAGTAATATATTATATACTACTAAAGGTTAAGATTCTTAATTCCCTATAGAGATTAACTTTATATTAATCTATCTAAGGCGCTCCTAATATTAGGTCGTACAAGGTAACTTCTATAACAAAATAACTAAGTTATTTAACATAGTAGCTAATACGAATATTAATAAGGATAGCCTTATTAACTATAGAAATAGACTTACTATTAGTAAGCTTAATAATTTAAGGTTAAGTAAGGTTAAATATTAGTATACTATATTATTATAAATAGTAGGAATTAATAATACTTATAGCGCTACTACCTATATTAATTAGGATACCTATATTAGAATATGCTTTACTATATAGGACGTAAACTTACTTTACTATAGTCTATTAGGATTTAATAATAGGGTCTTTCTTTTTAATATCCTTTAGCTATATTATAGGTATAATAAAAGCTAGTAATATATAGATAGCTTAAGAGTATACTAGTATAATACGTCTCTTACAAACTACTTCTTTATATTTAAGGCGCTTAATATAATAATATAGATATTTAATAATAATCTCCTTATTCTTATAAAAGGTCTTCTTAGCTTTTTGCTTATTAGTTTTAATATTAGGTAGTTATACGTTAAGTTAGTTATTCTAACGTTTCTTTTATTTATTTTGTACTTTATTCTTATTTAGCTCTTTCTTATAGCTTAGCAAAGAAGTATCTAGTTTAATAAATAATAGTTATCTTTATCTTAAGCTTTCTTAATAAAGAGCTATTAATCTTAACGTACGCGCGTAAATACTATAGCTAGTTAAGCAACTTTAGCTTTAATCTTCTAATTAAACAATAGCTCTTAATTTTTATAAAGTAGGTTCTTAGTATTAGTACGATATTCTTTTTTATTATAATAAATATAACGTTTCTTAGTCTTTAGTACTTAAAATATATCTAGGGGTTAAGAAATATTATTATTTTTAGCGTTAGTATTACTTCCTTAATTAGAAGATTAATTATTTCTCTAACGTAAGTTATTCTAATATAGGTTACTATTATTTAAATTTGCATTAGTATTTAGTTTATAGTTAATATAATAACTAACGTTATAGAATTAAGTATAAAAGGTAGTAAAGTCTTTAATATTATAAGCTACTAAGAAGTTTATAAACTTTTTTAGGATTAGATTTTTAAGTTTAATAATCTTCTTACGTTTATTAAGTTCTATATCTATAGAGTTAGCTTTAAATTATCTTAAAAATCCTTAAAGAGTCTTAGAATCCTTCATTTTCGCTTTAGGTAATTTTAACTAAGCTTTAGCGTCTTTAAAACTATTTTTAGAATAAAAGTAGCTATCTAAATTAGCTTATATTTTATTTATATACTTATATAGGTTTTTTAATTCTCTACCTTTTTAAATAACGGCAAGGTTATAAGTAGTACTAATAAGGCGTTAATAAATAAATTTAATCTTTTTCTTCTTTATTAAGACGTATAAATATACCTTATTATTAAGTAAAACGTTAAGTATCTTCTCCTTCTATATCTTATACTTAGTTATATTAATTCTAGTAAAGTCGCTAAGTTTCTTAAAATAAGAATAACTACTTACTACGCTTATAGTAGTTAATAATAGGGTTAGATATTACATTCTTATAAATTAGATATTACTTAATACTACTAAACGTATAGAGTTTAATATATAATAACTTAGAATAGTATTATCTTCTAAATCTTTATAATTAATATAGGGTAGTAGTACTATAACTAATACTACTTATAGCTATTCTTCTAGTTTAGTAACCTTAGTACATAGTAAGTTAACTAATTCTTAATATTAAAGGTTAGTAGCTTATTTAGTCTCTAGCTTTATAATAGTTTATTATTCTAACTAGTATACTATATTTAATTTAATAGTATAGTTATATTATAGTTAGTTAATATAGGCTTAAATATCCTCTATTAACTATTACTAATTTATAGCTTTTTCCTATAAGGTTTTAAATAACTTCTTAAGATAAGTTATATTAAAGTTTAATTCTAAGAAGTTCTTTATAATAGTATCCTATACTAATCTTAAAGACTAATAGCAAAGAGTTATAGTCTATAATATTACTAACATAATATAAAGTTATTTAAAGAAATCTTTAGAATAGCTAGATTTAATATAATAATATAGGAAATCCTCCCCTTTAATAGTAAGATATTAATCTTATACTAGGTTTAATAGGTTTATTTCGTCTTAGTAAATTATTAATACTTATTTTCCTTATTTTAGTCTAATTCTATATAAGGCCTATATAAATAAAGGCTTATCTACTACTAATAGAGTAACCTAGTAGTTTAGGTCTATAGATATAATAAGTAAATAGAAAAGGAATCCTAGAAAGATGTTTAGAGGGTTAGGTCAACTAAGTAGTAAATCTAACTAGAATTATATATCTTTTAGAAGACGTACTTTACTATTATTTAACGCTTCTATTATATATTCTTTTCCTTTAATTACTTTTATTACAAAAAGGCTAGCAATCTAAGTAGTATTAAAGATTAATACCTTTTTCTTTAATTCTAGCTCTTTTATTAATACTACAATAAGTATTACTTTAAAAGCTTTTTCTACTTTATAGATATCTATAAGGTTCTAATATAAGAATTTAGCATCTTTATTATTAAAGAGTCTTTTATTCTTTTTAGGTATTAAAAGGAGTTTAATAGAATCTTAGATATTAAGTAGTTTATATTAAAGGGTTAACTATAAAGTTAATATCTAATTAGCTTTTATATCTAATATAACTAATATAGCCTTTAAAAAGTATCTATATAAGTTATAAAGAAGTAGAGAGCGCTTTAGTAAATAAGATTATAAGTATTTATATTTAAGATAAAGAGGATAAGGTAGTATACTATAATTAACGCGCTAATTATTCTAAGAATCTATAGTAATATTATTTCTATTATTATTAGAACTAAGATAATAGAATAATAGATATTTTTAGACAAGAGATAAGGTATATATAAGTAGATAGTAAGTAGAGAGGATATAGAAATGCCTCTATAGATTATTAGTAGAAGAACATAGTAGAGTAAACGCTTTAACTACTTTATGCTCTTTATTCTAGTAAATAACGCTAAAAAAGCGTTTATTTAATTAGGTATTTATAGCTTTTACTAGTACCTTTTATAAGGATCTAAATAGCACTAATCCTAACTAAGAGTAGTACTACTAATATATTGTTATTATTTAGCAGATTTAAGTACAACTTTAGCTAGTAGCAATTTAGTAATGCGTAATAAACGTATAGAGTTATTTTTTAGTATAGAGGTACATAGATTATATAAAGAGCTATTAGGCATAATTAGGCGAGTAGAATATAGCTAATATTATAGAATCTACGTACGAAGAGAGGAGATCTA